GAATTTATTCAGAAGGTGAAGGAATATTTAAATTCTACAAAGGGTATATTCTTGCATATATCTATGAAAATTCAATTATCGATTTATTTACCAATGGTAATGGCAGTTCATTCTTCTTAAGCTCAGATAATTTTTACATAACTTTCAACCTCTATGATAACTTTGGATATAACATTTAAGCTTAAAATGGCTCTTTAGTAGCAACAGGGCAATATATAGATCCAAATTTAAATGATTATTTTTTGTAAATCGTAATTACTACTAATGCATTTTACATTGACAATCAAGACTATGATTTAGATTGGGCTCTTGAAATGCTTTAAATTTAATCATTAGACTTCCATAATTATTAGGACATTAGATACTAAATGATATTTAACTAAACAGCATATTATTGGGATTTCAATATGACTGGAAATAATTTCAGTGTTGAGAATTTAGGACCCTCTGAAGCGTTTATTTACATTGGTCCAAGAACTACAGTCACAATTAGCGATTTGGAGATGTTTCATAACTATAATCTTATAGAAAATCTTTACTTTGACCCTATAATGATATTTTGTGATTCATGTGTTTTGACTATAGATCTATTTAAATTTGTACTTTAAAGATATCCGTAGTCAGCTTTTATAATTGCTAAAGATGCCAGCTCTGTTACCTTAAAACGTATAGATTTTGCAACAAGTGGTGATATTCCTTGCGGAAAGTTAATAAAAGTTATAGGAGACTAAGCTGGCTCTATCTTAATTGACGGAATTGATTTGGATACAAGTATGCCTATATCGGATGAAACATTAGGAGGAATAATAGAAGCTTATAATCCTGAATCAATAATCAAAATTTAAAACTCAATACTATCTTATTATTCTTAACAGAAACTGTCCTTCATAAAGATATTTTAATTAAAATCACTAGAAATTTAGTATTCAGAAATTCATCAGCTTATGGCACCTGTCTAAGGTTAATTTATCAATTGCCAATCAGAGAGTACAAAAATACTATTAAATGGTGTCAAATTTTTTAACTCTGATGTTGTTATATTTTACGAAGGATAAGAGCTAACCTCAGTAATTTATATAGAAAACGTAGATGAACTTAAATTGTCTTACGTAACCATCGCCTTGCTATAATCATCTTATTAGTTTTTGAATGCTCAAGGTGGGTAAAATATAGTGATAGATCACTTGTAACTTAACTGTTAATTAACTTCATTTGAGATATAGCTAATGGATTATGAATATTTTAAGCAGGTAACTGATAACACAGTCATTGAATAATATTTTGATTTAAACTACTAATCACCAATATAAATTAATAACGTTAACAATGTAAATATGCAATGGGGCAATATGAGAAATTGCTACAATCAATAAAGAGGAGGAATCTTTACTTTTATAAACTCTACTGTTGTTGATTATAATACTACCTTCCAATAGAATTTAGCAATGTCTGGATCGGCAATATATTGTGAAGATTGTAAAATGACTCTAACAAATACTTATATTAATTATTAAGTAGCAATGAGAGGTGCAGCCATATATCTAAATGGAAGTTCTACTGTAGAATTCATTGATATGTGGCTAGAACAATTATACGCTTATGATAAGGGAGGATTTTTGTATGTAGAATAAAGTAAAAATTTAATTACAAACAATGAAGGCTAAAGTAGCGAGAGCTCTATAGATAATTATTTGGAGACTGAATCTAAAATAAGCTTTACGAGAGGTAATTTCCTAGCTCTATACGCATTAAATGCGGGTGGAGGATTATTTATAGACTCAGAACTAATGGAGATCGATTTTACCAATATTTATCAGTAAACCTCAAATTCAAAGAATGGTGGGTTTATCTATTTATAAAATGCGAAATCTCTTACAATTGCTGACTCTAATTTCAGAAATTATTAAGGTTATAATGGGGCTTGTATCTAAAGTGAGTCTGCAGATACTGTCATTTCGATTGAGAGATCTAACTTTTAATAAAATTCTGATCCAATTCATGAAGACCCTCGTGATTAAAATCCAACAGTTGACTACTCAAATGATTTATACGGAGCTATATATATTAAAAAGGCTGAGTCTGTTACATTTAAAAATAACAAATTCTATAATCATTACTATAAAAAATATGGAGCAGTCGCATTTTTAGAGCAGACTAAGTATTATGATATTGGATCTACATACTTCAATACTTTATCTGGAACCGCAGCTATTTACTTTAATTAGACCTATGATGTAGAGTTGAGTTTTCTTATTATCGAAGAAAATATGTCTTTAATTGGTACTACTGGACTGCATTTTGAATAAGTAAATGGTGATGTTAAGCTTACAAATGTAACAATATTTAAATCAGCGGGATAATAAGCAGCAATATATTATTAAAACTATGAAAATCCTAACTCATTAGTGCCTAATTAATTGCTTTTGACAAATGTTTCTATAATAAATTCTGATTCTCAATATTATGGTGGAATTTATTTCTATCATCCAACAGGAGTTTTTATTTCAAGAAATCTTTTTCTGAATTACGTTACATCTGGCTTCCTTGGTGTAATAGTTATTTAATCAGCTAGGATGGTAGAGTTCCATGATTCCATAGTAAGAGAAACAAGAAGTGCTGGGGGTAGCGTTTTTCTTTACGCAAACAATATTAAAGAATCAGCATATATCGGCTAGATAGTAATATTTAATTGACCTGAAGTAGTATATATCGGTTTAAGGAGAAATCTATAATAAAATGAAGAAAAATTTTAATTTTAATAGAATATTAGAAATTTAGCCTTCTATCACTAGGACTATAGGTTTTATTTTTCAGCTAATACATTGAATCCATACTCACTAATTACAATTAGAGGAAAATAAGCTTATATCAACAATTTAACTCTATTAAATGGTAGATTTGAAGATGGTAATAGAGAGATAATAAGAGTGTATGGTGTTGATAATGTATAACCAATTATGTTTTTTGAGACGAATTCTTATTATGATAAGATTAATTTAACTAGTATAGGCATGTATTTGTTCTCCAATGCTAAAGTTTTTTAAGATAATAACACCTATAAAAACTATTTTCTAGTAAAAAGCATGTATAATTTTGAGAATACGAAGTTAATAATAAAAAATTCAAGATTTTAAGATTTTAAAATGCTCTACAATATGTACCAATTTTCAAATTAATTAGAGGGAGGCTTATTTTAAAGAACTTTGCTATCTTAAAATACCTACAACTCTCTTAATTTCTTTAATACTACCTTTAAGAATTTTAAATACGAGACTTCAGGCTGTATCCTATCGCTTAAAAGACATATTGACTAGATTAAATTTACAAATTGTACATTTTCATAAATTCTTTCAACGAAGCTTGGTGGTATTATATATTTCTAATAAGAACTAGACAGAGTTCAATAAATAGATCTTGTGCAAAGTTATATTACTAATATCTAAATTAGTTAAGGAGGACATGTTTTTTACTCAGAGTCTCCAAAAGTTCTATTAAGAATGATTAACACTACTATAGAATGTTTACCAAACATAGCTTAATACTCCACTATTTCAGAATAATAAGGTCTTGGATTATTCTATATAAGGAACTCGATTAATTTTGGATTATATTCTAAAGGTTCTATCTTTTAAAATTGCAGATCACCTGATGTAGGATCTGTATTCAATCTTTACAAAACCAAATTTATTGATGAGTATTCAATATTTTAGAACAATATTGCATCAAAAGGAGGCGCAATTACGTGCAATGAATGCAATTTAGATTTTACAGGATCAGAATTTTACAACAATCAAGCAAATTAAGGTGGTGTAATTTACTCTGAATATAATGTCTAAATAAAGCTCGATCAAATTACAGTTTTATATAGTAACTCAACAAGTGATGGTGGTTTTATTTATCTAAGATTGGTTGATTCAAGTTAAAATACATCAAAGACCGTAGTTTAAATATCTAATTCAAAGTAAATATCTGGAAACTAAGCATAAACTGGAGGATTTATTTTCTCATCAAACCCCTTTGCAGAACTCTACTTATCAAATATTGAAATTCAAGATGCTATTTCTATTACTAGAGGGGGCTTCATGAATATTATAAAAGCATCTAAAGTGCAAATCTAAAACTCTAAATTCTATAATTTTCGTTCCCCAGAGGGTGCATTTTTATATAGTGCATAAAGTTCTATTACTTTCAACATCTCAAATTCAATTTTCTAATGTAGAACATTCAACCCAATAAAAAACAAAACATTTCAAATAATAGATCAAACATTTAATCCATTAACTGATTCTCAAATTTCAATAACGAATGCAGATTATGTGATATCTACAAATAACACATTCTAGTATTGTGGAACTACATCGAAAGGAGGAATATTTAAACTGTAAAAAACAAAGTTCTATGACAAGAATTCTTAGTTTTAATATAATTCAGCTTTTATTGGAGGAGTTATTCAATGTTAAGAGTCTGTGGTTGAAATTACTAACTCTAAATTTTAAGGAAATGAAGCTAAAATAGGAGGAGTTTTTCATATTGTGCAGAATTCCAAAATGACAATTCTAAAATCTTAATTCACTTCAAATTTTGCTTTAGCAACTTCTGGAGTGATCTATCTTGAAAGTGAGTCCACTCTATCCATTTATAATTCATACTTCACTTAAAACTATGCACCTGATAACTCAGTCATTGAATTATCAACAATAACTACGAGTGATAATCCTATTATTATTAAAGAATCAAGCTTTGAAAATAATTGGTCAATCAGAACATTAATTTCAATCATGTATGCTAACGTTATTATTGAGAATTCAAATTTTATGAATAATGTAGCTTATTAGAGAACTAAAGGACTTTTGTGCGGTTCTGCCAATATTACAATAAAAGGAAGTTAATTTTAAAATGATTATTCTCCTAGCTGGTTGGGAAAACTCCAAAAGGAGGAGACAACAGGTTCATTTATTTTCCTAATTTCACAATCTATCATGCAAATTCATGATAGTAATTTTATAAATGGATAAGCTAATCTTGGTGGAGCAATTTTCTTGTCTGGCAATAGTTAATTAGAAATTTATGGAACTAGTTTTTTAAATAATAAAGCTAGATCTAAAGGGGGAGCTATTTATGCTTCTGGTTTTAGAAATATCTTGATAAGTGGAATTAGTGATTTCAAAGATAATTTTGCTGTTGATTAAGGAGATGATATTTATTTGACGAATTCCATACATTAAATAACTCTAAACTAAACTTACATAAGCAACAAAAATGCTAAGAATTCTATATATATTGAATAAGCTAAGTTATAATCTAATCAACTAATTATTAAAGACATCTATACAAACAAAGATTCTAAGAATGGAGGGGCAATAAACTGCCAATATTGCTCTGGACTAGATTTGATAAATTCTAGTTTTACTAATATAAAGTCTGCCTAGGGTGGTGCAATTTACATTATAGATTCTGATTTTAGTAAAAGTTTTAATGATTAAAAGTATAAGATAACTAATACAATATTCAAAAACTGTACAGCTGAAACAGGAGGAGCAATATATGCTACAAACCCAGAATCACTTATTATTTCAGACTGCTAATTTCTGGCAAATAAAGCATTGTTTATTTAAGAGCTATCCAATCAATTCTAGAATTACGGGTCAGGTGGAGCAGTATACTATACGTGCAATCAATACTACCTTAATTGCCTCCTTAAACTTGAAGGGGTGAATTTGTTTAAATAAAATAAGGCATCAATTTAAGGAGGAGCTATATATTGGGATATACTCGAACCTCAATACAGTTAAAATGACATAAAATTCATTGAAAATTCTGCAATTTATTATGGAGATGATATTGCTTGTTTTGCATAAAATATAAAGTCAATATCAAAATAGTCTTACATCAACTAAATGATTAGAGTTGGTAACCAAATTTCTGAAGACAATATTTTAAGAAGAACTCTTGAAAATCAGCTGAAAGATTCTACATAAAATAATCACTAAGCAAATTTTAATAACCAGAGAAGTGGAGGGCCTCTGCCTGTTATGTATTTGAGTTTAGTAGACAAATACGGCTAAATAGTAGGATCTGATTTCAAAAGCACTGTGAGAATTTAGGTAAATACAACAAATCTAGATACTTAAGCATCAAAATATCCTCCACTTATCGAAGGTAGTAGTGCTTTTACTGTTAATAGTGGAATCGCAGTATTGTAAGAAATATACTTAACGGGTAATCCTGGAAGTGACTATTAAGTTGTTGTAGTCACAGATGGTATTGATTTGACAAAACCCTCAAACAAATAGGCAATGGAATAAAAGAACAGCCAAGATCTGAACTTTAATCTTGATCTAAAGTTTAGAGAATGCTTGATTGGTGAATAATTTACATAAGCAGG